GGGTGTGCCGCTCTCCGCCGGGGGTGCCGCTCCTGCCCCCGCCCCTTCTGCCCCGGCTCCCCGCAGGAGGTCAGGCCCAGTCCCCCCCGCGGGTGCAGCCTCGTACCGGGCGTTTCTTGCTCGCCAGGGGCTCGTTCCCGCTGGTTTGGTAAAAGCCCGAAGTGACCGCGATAGTTTCCTGAAGCCTGGTTTTCTTTGTCAGTGTGACGATTTTTTGTTAAAGCCGCTTGTCTGCCAGCCCTCAGCCCACTGGCACCTGGATGAAATAGTTTACAAATATTTCTCTAGTAAGAGAAAGCAAAGTGCTAGTATGCCCTCTGGTTTTAATCTGGAAAGTTACGAACTCTTAATTTTGCTGTAAGTCACTGCTCCGCTGACAGCCCTTTCTGTGAGAGGCAGCGTTTGATTTCCCACCTACATCAGCCCCGTTTTTTGGAAGTGCGGAGGACTCGCAGGAAGGGTAGGCCTGGCAGCCTCTCTAGGCACAGGCAGGCCAAAGGTGGTACCTAGTTTAAAAAAAAAACGATAAAGGAAACCAAAAACAAATGCAAAAGTGAAACCCGGAAGCTTTTCGGTGACAATCAATGGCAACGGTGAGCTCTGGTGGAAGAATTTGCAGTTTAAGCCCCCAAGCCCCAGGTTTTGCACTGTAGCCATAGGTATACTGTAACGTATATGCTGATACCCCACCAGGAGAAGATTATTCTTCTTCTGCCCCAGCAAAATAGCTTGTTGTGCACTCGGATCCAAAGAGGATGGAGGGGAAAAGCCATGTCTGTCTCAGAGCGGTACTAGCAAAGTATTAGGATGCTAATATTTTCTTACTGTTTCTCGCTTTACTGACAATATGGTAAGTTTCCATGCGATTAACTGGTAGAAATACCTTCAAGTGCATGTAGGCACTTGCTCTGGATGACTCTGTGTGAACTAAAATGTGCAATGAAGGTGATTGCCTTTGTAATGATAAACCATTCTGTCCTCTCAATAACACTAGGTATTTAAAATCACCTTTGTATGTGTTAATAATTAATAAAAGGAAGAGTATGCCTTTCGTGAGAGGGAGGTTGATTAGAATGAGGGGGCAGAAATACTGGTAGGTGGACCACATGGATCAAGACAGAGAATATTTTTTAACTGATAAGCCTGGCTTCCGGATCTTGCATACTTTTTGGTTTAGATTTTTTTGAAAGAAAAATGTCTGTGCAAGTTACTGGGGTCTTCCTATTTAGTTGAATCAGGATTTTAGTCCAGTTAAACCTGTTTTTAACTTGTGTCTGGCAAGTAACTTTTCACTGCTTTTTTCTAAATGTGCTATTAAACTCAGCTGATTGGTTTTCACTGTATTTGTGGACTGTTGCGACCTTTGGCTTAGAAATATGTACTCAAGTGATGTAGATCACTGTGTGACTGTCGGTGGAATCTGAAGTTAACTGTGGAGGAACGGTGGTAATGGCTCCCACTTCAAATACTCTGTAGCTGTCCTACCTTCATAGCCATTAATCGAGTGTCTACAGAATCTAGTATCCTTAGAAGATCGTTTCTCGGGACCAAAGATGGGACACTTCTGCCCTTCAGACTTAGCATTCTTGTTTATTTGCTTACAAAGCAATGTGTCCAGCAGGTAGCAGGAGTCAGGGGCAAAATGTCTACACAAGGTTCTGTACAGAAGGATTGGATCAGACACAGCATGAGGTAAAAAAGCTTTCACGAGGAGAGTTTCAGGAGTTAACTAGAGGCCAAAAGGATAAAGGGAACAGAGACTTGAGCCTGATAGATTAATAGGTGCTGTTATTGGTTGAGTATGTCTAGTCCTAAGGCTGTATCAAATCATGCTTTTGTAGAGCAAGACAAGGAGGCTGTATTTTACCGCGTTGACCACGTTTCTCCTCTTGTTGATTTGCAGTATCTTTTCAAATAGATGCAAAAAAAAGGCAATCATTCTCTTTCTGTAGTTCACACTCAATTCAGATGTTTCTCTTGGGTTAGTAAGTGGCACTCACATCTTCATTATTGTCCTTTCATCGCTTCTTTATCCAAAACTCAGAAGTTAATGAATTTTGTTGGATTTTAATTTTTTTTTTAACTTCTCACCCAGCAAAGATAACAAATTGTGTTGTTTTCAGCTTCATTATCTCTTTGTTTTGCACTCTCAGACTTTTGCATCTTTCTTTACATGCCATCCCTAGGACAACAACCTTTTACATTCACAAAATCAAGGGTGTTGCAACTTCCACTGTTGTTGATGCATTCCTCTAAAATTAGCTTTCCCTGCAGCTGTTCAGATTGTGTGACTTGACTTGCCTCTTACTGGAGTGGAAGAAAGTGTGGGGTACACAGACTTGCCTTCAAATCTGTGCTGCTAGCTTTCTTAGAAGTGGTCTGGCCACATCGATGTTTAAAATGGGGATAATAATGCTACTGTATTTCAGAGTTATTATGCTGTTTGGTCCATTCTGTAGCTAATTACAGAGACCATTTAAATGTTCACAGAGACTTTTGCCAAACTGCCTCTCTCTCCATTATTTTTCCCAAGCTCAGCGTTATCTGAGGTTCTTCTTTAAATCAACTTGACTGAAAAAGTATATTTCTGTGTATTTTCTTGCAGATGTTGTAAGTACTCGCACGACATCATCAATGCTGAGAATAAAAAAGTTCTGAAGACTTACGAGTTGTCTGGCCTCGATGAGAATGAGCTGCGAGTCCTGCTTCTCCAGAGTGACCCTTTCCTCCTCCCTGATGTGAGTTGTACTGATTTCTTAAGAGAAGCTTTTGTTAATTAGGAACGGGAGAGGGCAAGAGAGAAGGTGGAGGTCTGATCTCAATTTCAAGCTGTTCAGATATGTAACAGAGTATTAAGATTAATCTGAATGAAATATGAATGGGAATGGCTGTGTGTGAAAGCACCAGAAGAAACAATATGGAGCAAGGGTTGTGAAAGTGCTGTGTACTTATAACCAAAAAAAATAACAGCAATGAAACTGTTAAACACCGAGGAGTGTGTTGCTTACATAAATACCAGAAGGCTTGCACCTTGGTAAGGCCATGTCATCTATGACTTGTCAGCAGAAGATGTGTCCTCTCACAGCAGGAAGCGGACAGCAAGGCTACAGCCTGTTTTGCGTGCCACTCCTGTTATCCCAACAGAATAGCCACAAAGTCACTCAAAACAAGCAAATAAAAAAAGTCAGCAACTTCACCAGAGATTTACAGATGGTGAGGTAAGCAAGACGGAAGTGAAAGATCACAATAATTGTACATGCTTACAGGATAAAAGGCGTGACGAAAATCAGTTTGTTGGCTCTTCTCCAAGAGATGATGAGACTAGGAAGCAAGGGCCCCTTTCCTTTTCCAGCCTACGTAGGCCTGCACATTTTGGTGCTTGAGGGTAGAGGGGAGTGAGAAAAATCTATGAGAAAATGACCAAATGACTGCAGTCAATTTTGTGTCAAATCTGCCCCTTCCAAAGTGCACTGAGTTTTTGTACACTAATTTTCTACAAAGCAACCTTTGTCCGGTTTTTGTGCAAGTCATTGATTTTGTTAAATTTGGCCGAACAATCCATTCTGCTTCTGCATGTGTGTGTAAGAGCAGTGCTATCTTCAAGGTATGGCTGTTTCAAAGCCAAGAATATCCTGTTCTGGCTACAGCTGTTCCTGGTTAAGAAATTACCAGAGTACTGCCTGTTACCCTTGTCTTTTGGAGGTTAAAATCTCCACAGATCTGTTGGCATAACAGTTCTATTGTTTTCTTATTCCCTGTTGTGGCAGGGCTGGGCTTTGACAAAATGGATTTTTTTTTTTTTTTTTTTTTTGTAGTGTTTTAAAGTATGTTGTGCTGGCAGATTCAAGGAGCACGGTGGTGATGAGCAAGGAGGATTAATAATATCTTTGTCCTGCTCAGCTGCATCTAAAACTTAAGTGTTTCTTGTTTAATTACTCCTGGTAATGAGCAGATAGTAGCAACCATCATTGGTTGGTATTGCTCTTAAGCTCTTATCTATAGATCTGTTCAGCCCTCAGCACTGGCAGGCATCATTAATTACCTCTAATTGAGCACCTTAACTCCTATTATGTAGTAAAATAGCAGAAACAACGGAAAACAGTGATCGATGCAGGCCATTCATAAACCTGAGAGCTGGGGAGAGGGGTGTGAAAGCCAACTTAGCTGTTTCTTGCTTAGAAATGCTGACTGGCTGTGTGTGCGCTGACAAATGGCATGTATGAAGCTCTCAAGCAAGAGGAAACTTTGGTCTTCTGTGACCTGAACTGGGGTGCAGGGTAAGAAAAACACAACAGCACCCCAAAATCAGGGGTTTTTACGCTTTTCCTCACCTTCTCGCTGGCTCTCCTTTTTTTGTTTCTTGGCAAATACAAGGGGCAGTGTGCTTTCTTAGTGTAGCTGACTAGTGGATTCCCTGTTTAGCTGAGGCAGCACTTTTTCCTGGTTAGGTAGTTTATTCTGATGCTCCCATGTAAAAATTTCGTCTGGCATACTAACATCATCTTTTAATGCATTTTCCTCTAGATGCTGTACAAAATTGCCCTTAACCAGATTCAGTGTCTTTAAATCTCTGGGAGCTTCGCTTTGTAACTTAAGTGGCTGGTATCTCCACTACCCTAAAGTGATATTTTGTGTAATGGATGCTCTGTACAAAATGTTTGTATTTTTAGTACTCTCTCAGCTTTTACCCGATTCTGTATTTTAGTTGCTTTTTTTTTCCTACTCTCTTGAGCAGGAAGATGCAAGCACGAAAGCATGAAAGCAATTCCTATGCTCTGGCCCCCAAAACCGGTGTCTGACATAAGCCTTATGCTTTTTTTGGTAGTTCTTAAATCAGCTTCAGATTGCGTGACAAACCGCTCTCTGCTTCTGGTTTTGGTTAGCAGTATTCCTGGAGGAGAAAGTTTCTAGAAAGGGGAGGACATTGAAGTTAAGGGGGAAAGATTGGGTTGGGGAAAGACCTATTAAGAAAGCAGCGATTTTAAGTTTTTCTAGAAATATCCAGAGAACTATATTACTCCTTTGAACCAAGGGACTACTGTATAAGTTTATATTACAGCCCTTATTTTGTGCTTGATTGTCTGTCTCTGGTGGATTTTGGACTAACTGTTTGCTTTCAGCTCAGTAACTTGAACAGTTATCTCCACTTGGTGGAAAAATAAATTGCATGTTTAAAGCCTTAACTTACATTTCTTGTTAGGTAGGCACTCAGATGAGGCATGTACCTTTTAGATGAAGGTAACACTTTGAGTGGTATCAGGCCCTCAAAATACAGCGACATTCTTCAACTGAGGGAGACCATCCCTTGACAGTGGTGTAAGATTTGAGTTCTTTAGTGACTGAAGTTGCAAAGCATCTCCCACAAGACTGTCGTTACCTAGCACTTGCTATGTTCGTGATACATAGAGTGCTCTGTAGATGATAAGCCTTTCTGCATTCCCCTCAGACAAAGTTGGGGAAAAGAAGGAGAGAAAAATGAAGGGACTTAGCCAAAATTCTGGAGTAGGTGAATAATTGCTTTGCATTGGCAGGTGCTGGTGGTTTGGGATCTCACTAAGAAAGGCACATGATGCTTAAGATAAATAGCTGGTTACTACCAAAGGTTATAATGAGAAGAAATCTTATGTGTCCCTTCTGATGTCATGGCAACCAATGACAATACAGCATCAGACAGACCTCTCTGGTAGGGCCATGGCTTGCTGTGCAGAATTCCCATCCATGGTGGGGTTCAGCACCCTTGCTTTTCTTCTTTATAGTATTTTTTCTGGAAAAGAAAAGAAAACAAAAATCAAAAAACCCCAAAGCTATTGGTCTTCTATCTGTATAAAACTGAATGTTCTAGATAGTCCAGCGAGGTTCATTGAGAGCATTATGCTCTTATGCATCTCTATAGGAACAAGCTCTTACAAACAGTACATACAGGTTGTATTGTTAAATGCAGTCCGTGCTAATGGCATGGTATGTCCTCACATTATGTGGCTGTCACTAATGATAATGTATGGGCCTCTGCAACCAAGGCCTACAGGTAAACTGCCTAGATTTGCTAGAAGTCGCTATCTCCTCATTATAATGTCTTCCACAGTGATCCACTACATTAGCTGAAAATAGGTCCAAAATTCATTGTCCAAAATTTATTTTCCCAGTACAAAAGAACAATGGAGCTACTGGAAGAGGAGTTCAACGAAGTGCCACTAAGATGATGAAGGGACTGGAGCATCTCTCACACGAGAACAGGCTGAGAGAGCTGGGTCTGTTTAGCCTGGTAAAGTGGAGGCTCAGGGATCTCATCAACGTTTACCTCCCCTGAAGGGGAGGGTGTAAAGAGGACAGAGCCAGGCTCTTTTCAGTGGTGCCCAGGGCCAAAGGTGATGGTCACAAACTGAAACACAGGAGGTTCCCTCTGAACATCAGGAAATGCTTTTTTACTGTGAGGGTGACTGAGCACTGGCACAGGTTGCCCAGTGGAGTCTCCCCCCTTGGAGATATTCAGAAGCCGTCTAGACACAGTCCCGGGCAACCAGCTATAGATGGTCCTGCAGGAGAATCTCTGCTCGGGCACCTGGAGCACCTCCTCCCCTTCCTTCTCACCTTGGTGTCTGCATGGCTGTTTTTCACACTTTCCCCACACCCCCCTTTCTACCATGCAGCATTTTGCCCTTTCCTAAATACGTTTTCCCAGAGCTGCCACCAGCTTGGCTGATGGGCTCAGCTGTGTCCTGCAGTGGGTCTGTTGGAGCCAGCTGTGTCCAGCGTGGGGCAGCCCCTGGCTTCTTCTCACAGAGGCCGCCCCTGCTGCCAGCACCTTGCATGGGCACCCAACAGATTGTAACACCACTGATAGCGTTTTGTGATGCGGCTGAGCTTAAATATGTAAATTGCAAGGGGGTAAATGGGAAGTTGTGATATAGTTGCACAAGCAGGGTGCAGGAAAACATGTAGAAGTAAAATCTGCAAGGTATCTGGTAAAACTAAAATCCTGCAGAGCAGGCAGGAAGGGTATGTGATGGAAGCAGAATAATCCAGTAGAACAAGCAAAACCAGAACAAGTCCAGATCCCAAAAATAAGATGTCAAAAGCAAACGACAGCATTCTTTGGGGTGTTAGGGGTAGAAAAGCATAAAGCATCCACAGTGACAGAAGGAAGATGGGGAAGAAAGAAGACAACACCCTTTGGTTTCTGCTTCCCTCAGGAGCTAAGAACCATCAAGGACAGTAGCCATCAGTGCTCACTGAAATTACATCAGTTCTGTGGCTTTGTATGCTCCCACCTAATTTAGAGTAAGTTTGTGAAGGCTAATTGTTCTGTACATGATACTGATGGCGAGGAGGAACTCGCCTTTGGCAATGGATATTGTTAATGAGTATGAATCCAGTAAAGAGTTGTTTTGCAGTTGAAACTGGCCTGATTTTTCAGTCTTCTAAACACTGCCATCCCAGCAATCTCTAATTCTCTAACTGAGATATAAATCTATATATATTCAGTTGCAACATAGCATAACAACTAGCTCTGTTGCTTGGAAGAGGGGTTGGGAGGAGATCTGTGACAGTTCTGCTGTGATGTTGTGGCTGTCTGCCAGACAGCTGTGTGTCCTCCTCAAAGCAGCTTTCTTGGACGGGCCGCTCCTCTGTGCTGCAGGAGCGGAAGTGTTGCTGTGGTGCTTGGTGGGCAGTATGAGTTTTTGGTGTGTGACTTGTTCCCTGGGTACAATTCACTGCCTATCTCTTTTTTGGTGAGCAGAGGAATAAAGAAGTGCGTTGCTTTTTCCATATGTACTCTAATCTCAAAGCATTCTTCATAACATTTTTAGATGCTCAAGTCTTGAGCTTTACAAATAGGAATGCAAATGCAGTTTCAGCTCCATGAAATAATACCTCATTTGACACAGTATATATGTTTTTATGGAGACACTTGTTCTTTGTTATGGTTTTGTTCTGGTTGTTTTGTTTTGTTTTGCTTTTTAACAGAATAACTGTAAAACAGTCAGTTGTTATGTAACTGTCTTGCTTCAGAGCGCCAAAAATGAATGCTTGTTGGATTGGCTTTTCTTTTCCTTGGAAAAAAACTCTGCACAACTTCAAAACTGAAAATGCATGAGTCAGCTGAAAATGCCTGCTCTTCCATGCAAGAAATCTGCCTGGATTAAAGAAGTCACAATGAACACGTGCTTTTTAGTCACAGTTTTTCTGCTGTTAAAGCTGCATGCCTATAGAACAAAGACAAAAATTCCTGATTCCAATGTTTCCATTTCATATTGTACCTATCCTCCCCACTTCTAGGTCTGCCCATCTTACAACTCAAAGGATGGCACCTGCAGCCAGCAAAACAACTGCAACAAGCTTCATATTTGTCGACACTTTATCCGAGGGGAATGTAGATTTTTTCCATGCAAGAAGTCTCATTACCTCTTGGATACCCATGCATTGAGAGTGTTGGAAACCGGAGGCATTGATGTGAACATAGTTTCGAACATCCAGTCTATATATGATCACAAGCATGTGGAACTCAACAAGGAGCAGAGGAAGGGGAAAAGTAAGTTGTAAGAAGCACTGAGTTTAAATAGGATTCTGAGTTTGGTAGAAGTAGAAGCCGTTTTTGCCTTACCTCACAGCTAAACACCATCATCCTTCCTGTGTTTTCAGCACACAACTACAAACCAAGAGAAAATGTATTGAAAAAACCAGCAGCTGTAAGGAGTAAAGAACCGAGGGGGCCTTTGCAAACAGTGGGCTCCACACTGCGAATGCCACCTTCAGAAGGTAAATATCTAGATAAGTACCAACTGCTTCCATGTGGAATCAGCTTTCCTATTTACCCTCTTACAACATGTACATATTTTTTTCCCTCCTGCCATTGATCTGCTTTCAGGAATGGACTAAGTCATGGCTGAGTCGTGTGGGAGGGAGAGCTGCATTACTGTTGCCTAAATTACTGCATGCAAAATTGCTATCGAGTGGCTGCTGATAACTGTGACTAGCTGGGATTTGTAACTGTTACTGCTGATCTGTTATATCAGCAGTGGAGTGCCGGTGGAAAATTATATGTTTGATGGACATAATCCTCAACACACAAATTGGGATGTTGCCAGCTAGCTGAGGTTCTGGTCCAGCAGTAGTGTTCATTCAGTCCTCTCATGCAGGTCCCAGTAACAATGTACCTGGTCAGAGCCAACACCAGTTGCCAACAGGAGCTGGAGGTAAAGATGAAGGTATGGATTATTTCTAACCCTCCAGTCTTGAGATCAGCGGTTCTCATTGGGATTTGGTTTCACACAGCCCTACAACTCCCTGTGGTGGTCGGAGTGTAGCTTATGTCCTTACCTTACCGTATGCTGAAAGCCATAGTACCAGACAGCCTGTGGAGGAGTGTTGAGGTTTCTGCCCAAGCATTGTGCAGCACAATGGGCAGTAGTCTGGGATTGATCTCTGTACTCTTCTGGACATACCGCTTCTTTTCTGGGAAGGAGACAGAGTTGTATCTGTGTGTGTGATATCTTTCCTTGCCTTCTGTCCCCAGGAAGTGGATATAGCTTTGTCAGTAGAGCGGTTGTCTTGATATACCTTCCAGTGAGTGAATAGGAATTCGTAAATCTCCTGTCCTCCTGGGCAGAAGGGCCTTGGCTTTAAAGCTTGTCAGACTCCAATACTCTCTGAACAGGTTCTTTTAGATATTCCACACATGGAGGGTGTAATGTTTAATATCAAATTTACTTACTTGAAGGTAGTTGACGTTACACGGGTGTTGTGGGTTAACCGTGATGGGCAGATAGGCACCACACAGGCACTCGCTCACTTCCCCCTGACCCCCAGTGGGACAGGGGAAGAGGAAAAAAAGAATAAAAGCAAGAAAACTTGGGGGTCAAGATGGGGGGGGGGAGGGAAGAAAAAGCAAAGGGTAAGTGGAAGAAGAAAGACGAAAACAAAGCAAAACAAGTGATGCAAAGGGAATCACTTGCCACCTCCCACGGACAGGCTGATGCCCAGCCAGTTCCTGAGCAAAAGATGGCTAACCCTCTTAAAACTCCCTCTTTTCCCTTTTATTGCTGAGCAAAATGTTATATGGTATGGACTATTTCTTTGCTGCTTTGCAATAGCCATGGTCAGTCACACCCTGCGTTACTCTCTGAGCTTCATGGGCACATCGCCCTTGCCCATCTCCACTGAGCCTTCTTCCATTGCAGGGGGTATGGGTCAGTCACAAAGCCCTAACTCATACAGTGGGCTTTACGGGGGATAGTCAGATCCTGAAAGCGCTGGACTTGGCTACTGCAGTCAACTCTTTGTTACTTCTGGGATGAAATACCAATTGCAATGTCTTTCCCTTAAAGTTGTATTTTGGTAGGGCAAATAAGGACTGATGTGTTCTTTCCTGTAGATAAAAAAGACAATTCCTCTGCTACAGCTTCGAAGGACAACAAACAAGAGAAGTGTGATGAGCTATGCGTGTTCTATGTCTGGAGGTACTGCAAACATAAAGGTAAGCTTTAGAAAAAGTAATGTTGTCTTCGGAGAGCAGCATCTGTAGAGGCACTCCCCGCTCAATGGCTCGGACTGGTGGTGGCATATAGAGTGGCAGTGGCGATTGTGCCTTCTCACTCATTTTCACTTAGTTTCCAAGTCACTAATAAATATTGTCAGAATTACAAACATAATCAGAGGAGAGTCAAGTGGATACACTTAAACCCTTTCTCCTCTAGATGATCCATCTATCGCCTATTTCTGCCCTGTTGATGGGGACAGGCTTTGGGTATGCTTCTGTGGCAAAAAGCCTTCAAGTGTTAAATGTTGCACTTTGTGTAACTAATTAGATCAATTTAAGAGCTGGCCTTATGCTGCCATCATTGACAACTGGTGACAATATGTCATCCTTTATTCCTGATGTATCCTATGTACATCAGATAACAGCCATATTCTTCCCCATTAAGTCCTTTAAAAAGTGATCTGAGGTGTTACAACATCTTAAGAAAACACAATAGTTGTACCAGCTAAGCTAAAGATAAATCTAGTCAATTGTCCTGGCAGTGGCCAATAACAGGGGTCTGCGGGAAAATATAAGTATAAACAATTGTACCTGAACAGTCACCTAACCCCCAGGTTAGGCTCCTCCTTGGTTATAAGGAGGTACCATGAGATTTTCTTTCAGTGAACTTATCCAGTCACTTTCTAAAGGACTATTCCTTTTCTGATCTCCTGGTCTTGGTAAAAGATCCACTGAAATTAGATCAGACTGTGTTTGCTTTCGCTTAGGATGTGGACAATAAGTTGCCTGATAACTGTTTGGTCTCAGATATTTGTGTGTATTTAGCATTTCTGTAGTGGGTTTGTGTTCTGGTAAAGTTCTCTCGTCAGAAGCTCCTTTTCTGAGAGGCAGATGAGTAAGTTACTTTAGGGCTTGATAATATCTCTTCATTACTTTGAAGAGAGACAGTACTTTAAAAATAAATTATCTCTTTTATGGGTATTTTATGGATCATAGAAATGAAATCTGGCCAAGAGAGATCAAGTGTGGTTTTGTCTACAGCTTTTCAAGTTAATTTAAGCACAGTGCTTTCAAGAAAGCCCTGATAACAAAAAGAAGGAAGAAAGGAGTGAATGACACTGTTGTCTTTATAACTGGGGTTAGTTTCCATATGTTCGGTGGTCAGATACATCAGGGGTCAGGAATGGTGAAACTCCTTTTGGCTCTGTCTGTGCAGCAGCTACTCCAGCCTTGTACCACATTTCTCAGACTCTGCTTCGTTAGGACCAGGCTTGAGGCTTAAGTTTATGAACTTTTGGGCCTGCATAATGTGAACGGTGTACTAGCTGTGGAGGTCAGGCTCAAAGCAGCTATACTATGACCACCAAATAGCTAAACTCAAATAACAGTTGGAGAGTTAGTGTGCTTTGCCATGCCATGTTTGGCTCAAAAGTTGTAAATAAGAGGTTTGGTCCATACTCGGATGTGGAGTGTACATCAGCTTCCCCCAGCAGGGAGGCCTGGAGGTCAGCCTCTGCCTGTACCCAGCAGCATGCACTCATGCAGGGATGTTAAGCAGGTCTGAACTCAAACATGCAGACATACATGCATTGAAAACATAGATGATTTAAAAAAACCCCAAAAGTCTTCTTCTGCCTGTGTGAAGGGTGTATAGCACTGCTGCAGGTCTTGCATGCAAGGCAGTTACAAGTTGCTGCTTCCCATTTTCTGAGAAGTGAAGCAACAATTCCAACAGTGCCTAGCAGTCTTGTTAGTAGGGCAGTGTGCTACCTGTTCAGGGGTGAGTGTAGGGTCCCTCTTGGGGGATGTTCTATGGAGTATTGCAGTCCTTTATGCTGCCTCGTTTGTTGGGCTGGGCCTAAAAAAACCATTCAGGCCTTGGTAACGACCGCATAGCTCTAAGAGAAAGAGAGAACCAAATATATCAGAGTGCTTATGTGATGTGTAGACTAGACTTTTTACAGCTGAGAAACATGGTGGTGTGACACATAGACAGATACTCCCTATCTGTGACACTGCTCTCCCAGCTGCCAATGTCCTGTCTCAGCAAAGGGAGGGTTGTGGTTTCTTTGAAATATATTTGGCGGTATAAGAGCTTATGTTGCTTTTCTAGATAAGACTGGAGAAACACACACCCCTATTGTTCAAACATATTTCTATTTTCAGCACTCTGTCTTTATTGCTCATACCAAAGCCCAGGAGATAAAGCCAGAGTGTAAAAAATGCTTGTTCCTTTTTTTTTTTTCCCTTGTCTTGCTGTCTGTTATGATTGCAGAGCTCTTGACTATGTCTGATCTCATTACAGATAAATGCAGCTTTGTTCATTACCATTTGCCATATCGATGGCAAGTGTATAACGGGATCACCTGGAATGACCTTTCCATGATGGAGGAAGTTGAAAAGGCCTATTGTGACCCCAAAACCAGCAGGTACGATGATGCTGGACTGCTTACTTAGGCTACTGTGGTTGACCCCCTAAGGAAAAACTGTTGTTTTCTTTCTAAAGATGTCTGACTTCCATAACTTCTGATTACTGAGCTTCTCAGAATCAGGATGTACAAATGAGAATTTTTCTTTTTAAAAAGAAAAGTAAAAGTGATTGCATGGAAATATCATCCCATTTTTGTCTGTTAAAAATAACACAACAATATCTTGCATTTAAAACTCTACACAGGGTAAAAAGAGGTGGGTGGAATTTAGTGCTTAGAATATTAGTACTTCAGATAATGAATCAAAATTTATTTATAATAATTAAGTTTGGCCTTTTAACAACCGTTCGGAGCTAGTCCTTCTCTATGGCTATTCCTTTCCTAATGCAGCTAGGATCTATAATAATAATATAATATTATCTATAATGTGCCTAGAGGAATTTTATGAAATGTCCTTTGTGTAAGCAGCCTTTTTCTTTTGTTGTTGTTGGGGTTTTTCTGTTTTGTTTTGTTTTTTTAACCAAAGTGCATTTTCCCTTTAACTCCTTTCTGAAAGCGCCACTGTAAGCCGCCTGGATTCGTAGGGGACCCCAAGTTTGGCCTCAGTAAAATTGTGTAGTCATTTTGGCCCATGCATCTTCAGACAGCAGATACTTTTGATTTGCAGCTTGACTAGTCTGCTGGATGTTGCAAATCACAAGCAAGATTCCCAACGGGAGGCTGCTTTGAAAGTCTTTCTGCCTGAGAGTTAATTTTTCAAGCCTCCCAGGAGTAAAAGCCCATGTGGCTCCAGTGATGAATGCTATTTACGGAACTCACAGCTGTGATTGCATCCTCTGTAGCCACGCAAAAGAACAAAGTTGATAAGCTGCAGGTGTTTGCTGGCAAACTCAGTCACATACTTACCAACTTCTATTCTTGTACTGAGGAAAAACTGTAACCATGCTTATTTATTGCGGGGGTACCTTTTGCCACATTGTACACGTAGTCCCAGACTGTCTGTAAAGCTGGCAGTGCAACATCGGGCTAGCGATTGAGATGGCATTCAGTGTCTTGCAGGCCATAGTTCGCTTCTGAAGATTGGAAGCAGTTTTCAGAGCTGCCATGCATGCTGTGGGAAATACACTTATTTCAGGCCTAATTAAGTTCAGGCAGTCGCATTATATTAAAGAAAATTGTACCAGCTTAAGCTGGGGATTAGAGGATAAAATATATACTGTTAACTGTAATAAACCTGAATTTGTCCTTACAGCATACCAGATAAGAGCATTAATTTCCAGACAATGACCTGCCGTTCTTATTCGCTTCGACGTCTCTCTACACCATCATCAGTCACAAAACCCACATTTGTGTTGACCACGCAGTGGATTTGGTATTGGAAGAATGACCAAGGCCAGTGGATTGAGTATGGAGAACAGGTGAGTGCACATCCTGTGCTTTGATTCACTTCTGAAGAAATGTGTGGAGTCTCTTCCCCCAACTCCCCTTTACTCAGGAAGGTTAATTAATACTTGTGCTTGGATTTTACAGTGTCGAGTAAGGCAGTGAAGCTACAGATGTTCATAACAGATGTGATAAAATGATGACAGGCTGGAGGGGAGGGAACACGCCTTATCTCCTTGCAGTGAGGTTCAGTACGAACAATTGTCTGTCTTTTGTGTCTGAATGATTTGTTACAACTACTTTCCTGACAAAGACCTTATTGGCAAACGCAGGAAAGCAAAACTCCCTTTTTTTCAGCTTGTGTTAATCAGACTGGTTTTGGTGATGCATGCCAGCTTCTCTAGTCAGGTTCCCTTTTGGAGTTGTCCATGGCTTCTACACAGATTTAACATGTATACACACTGTCCTTGAGATATATTGCCTTTTAAATTATTCAGGAAGTAGTCTTACCTCTCTTCTCTCTTGGACATGCAAGGATTGCTCTGTTACCTTTTTCCTTGGGTGGTCCAATCCTCTTTGGTGAGGGAGTGATCTATTTGAAAAATGCAGGAAAAGAAATAAACAAGGGATCTCTCCTTCCCCCAAGGCAGATGAGTTTTCCCCATCTGGTTTACAGTATAGCTGCACAAAAGGCAGAACACAAAGGTGATCCAGGGACGTGGAAAAGTAGGAAGGGAAAGATGATGGATATAGTGGCTCTGGCAATGGTGGGCCTTGATTTCAGTAAGCAGCTTAAACGGAAAGCATCTCCATCAGCATACACTCATATTTTACATTGTTTTGTACATTAGTGAATTATACTTGCATTGTGGTTTAACCCCGGTGTCATGGAGCAGACTTAGAATCTGCCGGCTATGCCAGTTTGTCACGGGGGAGATTTTAGACCGTTTAAAGAACAACCGCCAAAGGTAGCAGCAAAAGTATTTTTATTGAAGTAGGATGTTGTAAAAGTGAGACTTACCAAAGTCCGATGGCAAGGTTCACTCTATTACTTACTGCACAGAGAATATAATAATAATTCAAAGTTACCAATTCAAAATCTTAGTACACTGTAATACAAGGTTATGCACAATATTGGTCGTGTACCAAAGATCTGCAGTTGGTGAGGGGTGTCTCAGCTTCAAGGAGTAACCTTGAGAGGCGTCCCAGCTCAAGAGCAGATCACCGCTGTGCAGCCTGCTCCTTAGCAGGGAGAGCTCAAAAAAAGCTCACTCAGGCTGTCATATTTATGGTTGGCTCATAGTCAAATTACATGCATTGGAAAAGGTAAGCATGAGACTCCTTGTACCCACAACTTTCTTTGTTCCTTGACAAATTAGTCTTGGAAGAACCACCTGCTATTCATGTGTTAATCGCATGATCAGTGTTCCAGTTTCCAAGCTCATACGCATCAATGCTCACCATGTCACCCTGTTCCTGTGTGGGTTTTCAGAGAACAGGTTGGAACTAGAGAAGTTCATGGCCCGGTCATGGCCTAAGCCTTTACTTCCTTTGGAGCCTGAACCAAACTAACACTAGTTTGGTCAAGGAGTTGAGTGCATTTGTCACACCCGGCCAGCAACTAAACCCCACACAGCTGCTTGCTCCGTCCTCCACAGTGAGATGGGGGAGGGAATCAGAAGGGTAAAAGTGAGAAAACTCGTGGGTTGAGATAAAGACAGTTTAATAAGTAAAGCAAAAGCTGCACACGCAAGGAAAGCAAAACAAGGAATTCATTCACTATTTCCCATCGGCAGGCAGGTGGTCAGCCATCTCCAGGAAAGCAGGGCTCCATCACGCATAGCGGTTACTTGGGAAGACAAATGCCATCACTCCGAACGTCCCCCCCTTCCTCATTTTTCCCCCAGCTTTATATGCTGAGCATGATGTCATATGATGTGGAATATCCCTTTAGTCAGTTGGGGTCAGCTGTCCCAGCTGTGTCCCCTCCTAACTTTTTGTGTCCCCCCAGCCTACTCGCTGGTGGGGTGGGGTGAGAAGCAGAAAAGGTCTTGACTCTGTGTAAGCACTGCTCGGCAGTAACGAAAACATCCCTGTGTTATCAACACTGTTTCCAGCACAAATCCAGAACACAGCCCCATACTAGCTACTATGAAGAAAATTAACTCTATCCCAGCCCAAACAGAAATTTAAATGGGATACATGTGTCCATCATTACTAATTATGTATTTGTGTGTATGTTATGAGTGTTTGGTAATCGCACTGTAGGCCACGATAGTTCTGAGTAGATTCATCTTCATCCTACTCTTTGTCTCTTCTTTCCCTCTACCCAAACTAGTTATCCAGGGTTTAGTCCTGACTGTGTTTACTCATTACTCTTCTCTTTTTTTTTCTTTCCCCCCGGCAAAGGGAGAAGGGGATAGTGTGAAATCGCCATCTTCTGATATTATTGAGAATTTGTATCTAGCAGATCCAGATGCCACCATATCTTTCCAGGCTGGCTTGCAGCATTACCAGCTCAGTTTTAAAGGTACTCATTTTAAAGGTTCTCATTTACAACTATGCAGTGCTTTACAAAGACTAACTTGCAAGCTATCGCAGCTTTTAGAAGCTATGACTTCTTTTACTAACATTTTTAAATTTACTCATTGGAAGAGGAAGTGAGGTAGAGGACGTTCCTTACAAAAGTAACCTTCCCTCTTATTCCTTGACACTATCCAGACTCACATTGGACCAGAAATAAAAAGATTCGTAGTCTTCACATAAAGTCATAGTAAAACTTAAGTAAAGTGAGTTAACTGTGGATGGTAAAAATGAAAAATTAAGCATCTTTCTGTGCTGCTGGAGCAACATTTAAAGAGCATGAATGACTTAAGGGAGCAAGCAAGATAGGCACAAGTTAAATAACAGTTACAGGAAGGACAAGAAGCTTACATAGGCTTTGTGCAACTATTCTTCAGCAGATAGAATTGATAATGAATATGCACTTTTCATTAATAAATGGCTGTCATTAATTAATGACCCTGTCTTGTAGACTTAGTCATGACTCTTTTGTTTTCCTTCTCTTTTTCTCCTCAAGAAATGATCCAGACAAACATGTCTTTTAAAACTCGAAGACAGGTCTGCAGGCGACCAAAGTTTGTGTCTTCTGAAGATGTGCAGAAGATAAAGAAAGGGTAAATAATGCTCTTTAAGTTGTTTGGTTTTTTTTTTGATTCATATCTCAGAAGTAATTGTAAGGCAAAATGGCTGCCAGTGTTGGCAGTAATTGTGCAAAGAACACAGCTGTTGCTAGAAGAAAACATATCCGTTTGTCTGAACAGAAGCTATATCACAAACTGTCGGCTTGGTGCATCACCTGGTTTCTGGGGTACGTGTAACTCCAGGTACCATATCCACAGGACTTGTGATGGACAATTGTTTCTTAAAGAAGCAGGTGAAAGAGGACCGTGACAATTGAGTGGCAGCATGCAAAGCTCAGCTCACAGAATGAGGCCATTTCCCAGTTTATTTGTGGCTTATTTTGTTTATTTTTAAATGTAGGAATTGGCCAAAGGGGAGAGTGCCAATTTGAATGTTCAGAGCAGGACTAGAATTACTAACACCTCATTTTCTGTCTGTTTGCAAACAGCCATACAGATTCTTCTATTCCAAATCAAGCCTGTCCTACCCACTGGGATCAATCTGCACTACCTGACTTGGGATACAAGGTATCTTTTCTCTCTTTTTTTTTTTTCCCCCCTCTTGTAATTCTGATGGAAAGGCACGATTCAAAGAAGAATGCTGCTTAACTGAAGCAATTGTAACTGGGTAGATCCTAAAAAGTGACAGGGGTGACTTCTTGGGTGGGTGTGCTAAAGATCTAGGTGATCTCCCAAGAGCTCCTGAAAAAAGTGCCAAATTCCCATGAACTTCATCTGGATTTTAGGCATCTATCCACATGCAAAAACAAAACTCACCAAATTCAAGACAAAAAGATCCACTGTTAAAAATGAAAAAATGGCTTACCTTGGTGACTTGGTGGACAAGTTCAGCAAGGAGCTTCTGAGAAGTGTGAATTTCTTCAGTAGAAGCTGGGCTGAGACCAAACCCTTTCTGTGTAGCCCATTATTAAAAAGCCATCCAATAATAATATCATCATGGCTGTTGGTGGATAAAGTTTGGATTGGAGACCTAGGAAAGGAAATCTCTATACGCGCTTTCAAGTCACCCAGTACTGACACATACATCACAGATCTGAGCACAGACCATGGCCTCAAGGAATGGCAGAAATAGAGCTACAGCCAAGAATATCAAAAAACATTTGCAGTGATCTCTTCAACAAACCAAACCAAACCCCTGCCAGCCCAAAGTTTATGTTCCTATTTGGTCTACGGAGACCAAAAAAGTGCAGGTGTTTTTTAAATTACTAGGTCTAATGGTATTAAGAAGCAGTCCTTCTGGCAGAGCAACACAGACTCTGGAAGTACTACAGTATGCTAGAAAAAAGGCTTTTCAGTGTTACACTTGTCCTTTTTTGTAGTGGTTTTGACTATGATTAAGGAACAGCACATAATGTGGAGCATAGGAAGTTTTCCTTGTTGACTGTGTCACAAAATCTTGTGTGATGCTGACCAAGTTGTATTGGCACAGATTTCTTGATGGCTAGGGACAGGACAGAAGTAATATCATATTTCCAGAATTCTTTCTGGCTACTTTCGGTTGACAGAGAGCTCCATTGCTATTCTCACTCTTTGAATTTTATTTTCCCTAGTGTAGTTACTTTGGCAGTGGCATGAGAGCCAGAAATATCATATGTCTCAGCTTCCGTGGGCTGGTTTCTGTTACTCTGCTTTGTGCTGGATGTTTCGTTTTACCCTGACTACCATCTTGTGTTGGATTATGCCTTACTCAATGTAATACCAGTATCTGGCCATGTGTGTATATAGCAAATTCATCTAAATGCAGTTCTGATGAAAAATCAATGGATAAAATTTAAGTCAACTGCTCTGTACGTTAGCTCCCTTGAAACAGCTGTTTTTCACAATTGGCAAAAACCCCTAATTTTTCAAGATTGTAAAAGTGTCAGGTGTCCAGCACCTGCTGAATGAACTAATGATGAGTTTGTGTGGGGAACCTAGCAGCCAGACCTTTTGAAGATTTGGGCCTGTGATATTATGAGCTCTGTCAAAATAATGAAGGATATAGCTAATCAGCTCTTTTCTTGGCTTATCAGCAGCTTAATTGATTAACATAAGCTTAAATTTTTCCAAAGAATGTCAGGAAGACAGGTAGCTCAGTTCTTTTTAGGTCTCAGAGTTGTATGTACTTAATTGCTTCCCTTATTTACTCTGCCTGAAAAACTTCAGTCTGAGTTTTAGCTGAATCCATTTGTTTGGGTGTTTCTGGAGTCACTGAGGTGAGTGTGAGAGGCTTTGGAATGCGATGTGCAGATCCACGGTATCGCTGCTGGTACTTGTGGGGATGCATGAAATAGAAGGATCATCTTGTTTCCCAGAGTTCAGTTTGTTTGCTGAGTTGGCACCTAAGAAAACCATCTCTTAACTTGTAAACTGAGTGCCTTTCATAGGAAAGGAAAAGTTAATTCTGTACCTAAAAAGTGACAAAGCCCACAGTACCTGTTGGCGCTAAAAGTGAAAGTCTGGGCTAGATTAAGTATTTCTGTGAGACCCTAAGCTTGTTTTTTTGCAGTAGGTAATATTGGGACTGGCCAGGATTCTGCATGCTTGTGGTGACATTGTAACATCTGACAATTACGACTTGATGAATTTTCTTCTCTTCAGACATTGACAAATAATCCTGGCAAAATTCGCTGTGCTGGAAGTGATCCATTTTAAAAACGAACACCTATTTGAGATAGGGAGAAAGTCATCTTTGCTTAAAAAGAGCATCTCTGTTTTGGTAACATTGCTTATTTTTTGAGTGTTGCAGTGTCTTAATCTGTAAGTCATTTAGAATCATAGTTCTATAGAAAGTAGAGTTTATGAAATGCACAATGGAAATTGGTAACACCAATTGGAAGGTTGGTGTGGATCTCTTCTGTCTTTGGTTAACAGACAAAGTGGAATTAGTAGTTGGTAAACTTTTTAAAGGCAAAAAAAGGAATTGATATTGTCTTGGAACTTCATGCTGGGTTTTAAATTGTATATTTAATGTACAGCTGAGAAATGTGTGTAATGAATGCGTGTTTTTATGTCAGAGGATGTCTTTGTGTGGCTGCCACGTTGCTGAATCCTGACACGCATGCCAAAGACTGCTGTGCCGTAACAGGAATGGGATCTGATGCAATGCAAAGAGTCTATCTGTGTACTTTATAGACATTAGTTCTAGTTGGGTCACTGTCACTGATACAAACTATGCTGCTTCCAAAACCTAAGTTAACCAGAGATCAAGGTTTGATATCAGAGAGTACTGTTCTTGTACAGTCATACGCTAATAGACATTATTGTCAGGGCAGTGATTCTTTCTCTGCCTCAGAAACTCCACTCCTTGATAGTGGGTCAGCAAATGCTTATCCTCTCTAGGATTTTCCTTTTTAGGTCTGAAGATGAAAAGAGCTAAAGAAGTTATGTTGCTATGAAGTATCAACCTGCAATAGCAATGTGATGTTACCCTTTATTAGCAGGGGAAGTGTCCTTGGGGAAATAAGGACAATCCCACAAAGTTTTTATGCAAAAGAGAACTGGCTTTGTTGCTCGGAGGCCATGATATGATAAAATAATTGAAGTACCTTTCTTACAGGATTAGGCCTTGTACCGTGTGGCTGACCCTCTCTTTTACCCAGAAAGGTTACAGTTCCTCAGTAAAAGATGCAACATAGCAAAAGCATATTTGTAGTCTAAATAAGAATTGCTTATGTCTAAATAAAAGATGTAGTACTGAAATATAGTGACATAATTTTCATCTTGTAGGTGATAGTGAACAACTTGAGCTGTGGTGTCACAGAGCATGCAGATAATAAATACTCGCCCATCCAAATTGTTTTATGTGTTGTGTTGTAAAGAGGCTTTGCAAAATATTCTTGTATTAAGACATGGGAAATTTCATTCAACCTTGTAAAAGCTTTTTAATAAATTCAAAGAAATAATTCTTCTTTGTGCAAGTGACTTTATTCTTAATCCTTAGAAGACTTTCCTATGATAGGCCTCTTCTTCAGTAAATACCTAATGCACAAGCTGGACATGGTGTCCAGAAAACTACTTCTTTATTTATATGCAGCTGTGAAATATAAGTCTTATTTTATCTCCTCTCTAAACTCGGCCTTCTAAAATGTGGAGCTTTTGCCTGACAGGTTAAGATGTTGATTTCATATTACCTCCTAGGATGACCGCAGCTTTCCTGCTTAAAACACAACTTTGATACGTGGGATGTTGGGCATTTCACTTTAAGACATTTTGCTAGTGCTGTGTTTTGGATTTAGTATGAGGAGAATGTTGATAACACACTGATGTTTTCAGTTGTTGCTAAGTGCCCTCCTAGTCCAAGGACAGCTCCCATGCCTACTGACTGAGCTAGGTACACAAGATGGGGAGGAACACAATCAGGACAGCCAGCTCAGCTGGCTAATGGGGTATTCCATACCATGTGACGTCATGCTCAGTATATGAATGGTAGGCGTGATCCAGGAAGTACTGATCGCTACCTGGTTATCGGTCAGCGCGGGTGGTGAGCAATTGCATTGTGCATCACTTATTTTGTATATTTTATCATTATCATTATTATTCTCCCTTTTCTGTTTTATTAAACTGTCTTTGTCTCAACCCACGAGTTTTTCTCACTCTTACCCTTCCGATTCTCTCCCCGCCCCACTGCAGGGGGGGGCAGTGAGTGAGCGGCTGCATGGTATTTGGCTGCCTGCCAGGTTAAACCACAACACTTAGGCAGCGGTAAAGTGGAAAGTATTACCAAGTGACATCAGTCTGCCAGCATCATGCATTTTCAGTCTAGTTTACAGGAGAGAAGTGTTCGTTCTAGAAAATTAAAGACACAGATTTCTTTGGAGAAAAAAACAGAAAATTTATGCATGACATAAGCAAGCAGAAGAGCTTGAATCATGTTTTAATTATGTTTTGCCTGAACTTTTCTTTGGGAAAAATGTACATTTCTTGATGGATTTTTAAACACAAAAAGTGTGGATTTACATATTAAGTGTCTGTCCTAAAGCATTAAATTAACCTTCATAAGTATAGTTTGGGGACCCTTCTGAAAGTGTATCTGCTATCATTAGGCTGCTACATGTTACCAGCTAACTGAAGCCTCATGTCTTCTTTCGCTTTGGTTTATATTTTATAGGCAGTGGAGATCAGTAATACAACCTCTGAATACAACAGAATAAAGCAGCTGTTTCTTCAGACTATGAAAAGCTACAATGTCGTTAAAATAAAGAGGATTCAGAATCCATCCCTCTGGAAAGTGTTTCAGTGGTTAGTATTTGTTTCCTCATCCTTACTGGGAGGGAGTCTCCAAGAGCTGGTGTCCCGTGTCTCCTTTGTAGGAAAGGAGAGACCTTGCCACCTGTCTTTAATGTGACTGGTATTTCCTTCTTAGGGGCAGTTTCAGGAGTGAAATTAAGTGCCGAAGGCCTTCTAGAGAATGCCATGCTCCTGGGGGGTGGTTCCCTTTGCGTGACTCCTTGGAAGGTGGGAGGAAGGGTACGGACAGAAAGACACAAATGACGCAAAATTGAGATGAGGATACCCACAGTGATGTGGAATAGCGTATTGTCTCAGGGATTGAACAGTAACCTACCCTGCAAGGGTAAGGGTGCTTGGCCCTTTCTGTTTCTTCCCCAGTCAGATTTATTTAAGGCTTCTTCACGTGTTTGAGTACCTTTGCTGAATGAAGTCAGTATTCACTGAGAAAGAATCCTCATACTCTAACTTAATGATCTCTGAGTTCCAGAGCTCCTTTCTGGTTTTCAACACCCGCATCTGTGCTATTGAACTCTAGGTACTTACGCCAAGCTAGAGACCAACAGATTTGAGCTGGTGCTAGTGACAATAAACAACCGTGTTCAGGTTAATTTGGTAGCAGATTAAGCTGTTGCATGGAACAGTTGTCTAGTTTAAAACAAAAGCACAGATACTTAATGGAAGTATTCAAGGACCGTATGGAATGGTAAGGGAGAAGAAAAATACTGCTCAAATAAGTACTTTCACCTGCAAAGTGACTGAACCCAGGAAGTTATCAGCTAATAATTTCGTAAAACCTTGCCATCTAGCAAAACATAAGACACTTTGAAACATGTAATAGTGCATACTTTCTCCTTTTATCCTCCTCCAATGAGATAATTAAGCTGATCAGGCAGAGTTTAACATTGCCAAGTTCTCAATGAACAAATTTCAGTCCATTGCTCTTAACTGTTCATTTATGCAGTTTACAAGTTGGAAGGATTCTCCCCTCTCCCTGGCTCTGTTTACTTCATAGCTGATCACTTCCTGAAGAATATTACTGTGTTGTCCGCTTCAACAGCTTCTGAAAACCTGTGGGATGTCTGGATGCTGTGAAATAATGATGGGAGGTACTAGTTGAGCCTTCTGTTGTGATTCCTCTTTTGATACTGGTCATAGCTCGGTCTGACCCTGGCCTAAATCAATAAGGTCTTCAGTGGTGAAAGAAGGCTCAATTTCTCTCCTTCTGGCTCTGTCTCCTCAGCTGCACTGATCTCACCGAGGGGCAGGAGCTCAGGCTGGTGAATGGTTACAACAGAAGAGGCGAGAGAGGGAATGTTAGGTGCGTGCAGCCAAGGCAGAAAGCCCATGTCGGCACAGCCCTGTCCTCTTGCAGGATGACTGGCTTCATGTGTATGGCAGTTTGAGTTCACTAGGGGAATGAAGAACAAGCTGCCTTTAGCTTTTACCCACTGCTGGAGCGTGAAGGCTCTGCCGTTAGTGTAACCTCCACTCCGCGGAGTTTTGGGGCTGGGAAGGGACAAGAGACATTAAAGCAAAACTAGTAGGACCCTACAGAGGAGCAAAAGGTTGGTACGGTGGGGACTGTAGTAGCATCAATGCTTACTTAAAATTCACTGAAGAAAGCCAAAATTACCTAGAATTGCTGGGCAGTGGTATTGCTCATCTTGTAATTGTTCATCATACTGCTAGTCTGTCTCATCTTCCAAGCTGAGAGGAGAAAGCAGACTGGAAATCTCATCCAGCTGATATTTACATGTACATGATATACTTTGCATTTTTCCGTTAGGCAAAAGGAGCAGATGAAAAGGGAAAATGGAGGGAAGGAAATACAAGAAAGGCTCCTGTTCCACGGAACCAAGATCCCCTTTGTGGAAGCCATCTGCGTTCACAACTTTGACTGGAGAATTTGTGGATGCAATGGAACTAACTATGGAAAGGGTACGTAGAAGTGACTCTGCTTGTTAGATGTCTACTTAGACTCCCCTGATAGTAGAACAATCACAGTTTTGAAGTCTTTAACTCTAGAGGGTGAAAAAGAGAGGTACGAATTGGTATTATGATCTTACTTCCCTATGGAGAGGACAAGAATTTGCTTTGTGCGGGGGTAAGTCTTTTCACAAGGTGTTACGAGAATTAATGTAAGGATTTGAAAAAGCCTTTGTTGCTGTAGGTGGGATCTGCTGAAGGCTCAAGGTCATAATTCAAACTTGCCAGAGAAATGGCCGCTAGTCTTCATAGCAGGGAGCAAGAAGGGCGTGCATCCCCTCAGTATGATCATGGAAGGTCCTCATGTTTTCTTGTCTATCCCTCTCATCATAACACGCATACCTGTAATGTTTTCAGATGGTTTTTTAAAAATTACTCCGAAAATAGCAAATTCTGAATGGAAATATGTGGTGAAATCCTTTCCCTTGTAAAAATTTCTATGGTATTATGTAAACCGAGTACGAGGAGACCTGAAAGTTGGGTCAAATACCTCCTGAAAAACAAGGGGATGCTCAGTTTTCGCTGTCACTTTATACATATTCCTTTTAACCATGTTTTCCTATCATTTTCTAGGAAGTTACTTTGCTAGAGATGCTTCCTATTCCCATGCATACTGTCAGCCTGCAGTGAAAACAAGTATCATGTTCGTGGCTCGTGTATTGGTTGGAGATTACGTTAAAGGCAATGCAGCCTATGTTCGCCCCCCGACAAAGTCTGTTGATGGGCTTCGGTTTTATGACAGCTGTGTGGATGATGAGTTAAATCCCTCCATTTTTGTTGTCTTCGAAAAATACCAGATTTACCCTGAGTATATAATAGAGTATGAGGAAGGAAAAAAATGTATTGTATCTTAGAGGGATCAGAGCTGTTTGTATCCCACATCTTACTTTCCGTGTTGCAGGTGTTCTCATACTTGGTGACTTTTTTCTTTTTAATACAATCCTTTGGAATGTTAATCCAAAGAATTTCTGTATTGAGGAGGGCTGGCAAAACAGATATTACATTTGTTGAGACTAATTGCCTTGTCTTCTCCTGTTCCTCTCTTAAATGAAGCGTAGACATTTAGATAACCATAGCAGAAAAATCAGAATCATGGGATGGGAAATCAAATGTTACGACTCTGTGGGCAAATAATTGTAAATGCATTTTCTTAGAAATAGAGTAGAGGATTTCTCTTTGCAAACAGTTCAGTTAAGAGAAAAATTAACAGTACAGTAGCTTTTAAGCAAACTCTCAGGTTTCTAGTAGTCAGAGATTCTTTTCAGTGCAGAATACGGCTATTCTTGATCCTCTCATCTATCACAATTCTAAACAAGTCAGCGTACGTAAGAATGACTTGATTTAGTTTTCGAAGTGCTGCTTGTTAATGCTGATACTAGTTTCAGTCTAAAATGGTAAAACAAAAACATAAAAAGCTTATTTAAAATCCATGTCGTAATTTTAAATCCATGTCGTAATTTTAAATCCACGTCGTAATAAGTTCTCAAGTGGAGAAGTTTCATCTGTACAATGGCAGCTACTGTTTGGATAAGAAAATTGTTGGATCAAATTCTTTTTGCAGATCTGCAGTAACTTGCTGTGTGATCTATACAAAAATAGAGCTCAAGTGAAACTGTGAAAGTCACAACCTATGAACAAGAAGGTTCTAAAATTTGGTGGTTTGGCTGCAACTAATGGCCATAAGTATATAAAGGTTGCATCACAACGAGCCAGGCTTTCAAGTGAATGTGGCCACGTATTTCCTCAATGTGAACATTTGCTTAGCCAATGCTATAGGACAGGAGAAACCTCTTGAGAAGCATTGATATTTTCTGTCCTATTTATATACGTTACTTTTCGTTTTTCTAAAAATATGATGTGACTGGAAGAGACCAGTTCTCTCGAGGCCAGTGGTAGAACTGCTGTCCTAAGACACTTTGTATACATGTTTTGTTGCCCACATTGCGTTGGGCAACTCGCTGACAAGTGTAGTTCTTCTTCGTGTTCTGAGGTAGCTGTGGGTGATCCTGGATACTGCTTCCCTGGGTCTGCTTTTGATAAACTTGCTTTGCCTCTGTCAGTGATGTACAACCCTACTAACGGTGGTTAAGCCCTTTTTTATTAAGTTAGGTGCTTTTTATTGTCCCAAAAAGAAAATATAAAAACTCGTACAGAGTTTCTACTGAATTTTAATACGGAGTTTGTAAGTTAATCAAACTGAAGACCCTCTGTACAAAGATGTCTTACTCAGGCAGTCTAGCTGTTAAGAGGGAAACTGTTGCTGAGTACAGAGGAGCAGTAATTTTTGCTTTCAGATAAGCTTTACAGTAACACGAATAGCCTCCCAGTTATTTGCATCTTTGATACAAATCTGTCAACCACATGTACTACTCAAAGTCTGCAAGTTACCAAGAGGGTGGGGAAATATATAAAACTGGGAAATCTTATTAAAATTACTGTCTTAGAACTAAATGAAAACATGTGTCAGTAATGCATTAAAAGGGGAAGATTATACCACTTTTTAAGATCTTGCTTTTGTTTACTTGTAGAGTTCCTGAATCATTGAGTTTTGCCATATTTGCAAATAAAATGTGTTTTCACTCACTTTTTGCTTGTTAGTGTGTAGTTTGTCTCCATATGTAAACTTATGGCACGACTAAACAGACCTAGTCAACTAGCCACTTAATACATGTGCTCAGAGTCTTCCTTTCATCTATGTTTCTAAACTGGGGAACTGCATGGATGTAGTTTTGCATTTTAGTGTAGATGCTTAGCTAAGTATGAAGGATAGAATACAGTCTGATTCAGGGAGAATATTTCTGTAAATGAACTTCCTAACTAAGATACCCTTAGTATTAAGTGCTGTGGTAGTTTGGTGGGATTCCATGTAATTAAACAGCTGCTCTGAGCAGTTGTTAGTCCTAAAAAAAGGGGAAAGAGACATAACTACTGGTTTTAATATGTGGAAGTAGTCGGGTATCGACTTATTCTAAGGATGTACTTTTTTGAATATCTAGATTAATAACTTTTAAAGAATCTGAACTAAGCACCTGCACTTCCGCCCACTCCTGTAAGCTACAAGACAGGCAAGTATATGGGGAATGCCAGTGAGAGGCTGACGACGTAAAATCAGTCTAAATCACAAAATCTAGAGGAAGGACAAGGGAAGAAATGGGAACTCCAGTGCTGTGCGTCACATTGTCAAAACTGCACTTCCACAGGTCTGGCAAGAAATGCTGCTGGGTGGGGGTACAACTCTCTCGTGCACAGGATATTGGCTATTTAATCGGTGCAGGGTTGGACTGTAGACGACCTGCTCTGGGGAAGGAAGGAAGACAAGAACTTCACTCTGGGTAACTGAGCTGAAGAGGGAAGAAAGCTAGAAAAAACATACTCTGAATGCAGGAGGATGGAGCATAAAGAAAAAAAGGTTCTCCCATCTACTGGCACCTTAGCCTCTTCCTAACTGACGCCAAGAAAAACACCTTGCAAGAGGAATGCCATGATTGCCGCAGGCTGACAGTAATCCTTTGCCCTTTGCGCTTGGTAAAAGGCACAGTGTGTGAGAGGAAGGGAATAATGCCTTGTGTGGCAGCTGTGTGGCCACTGGGCTGAATTATGGTCCCACTTGTTGCTGCTAGCCAGCCTCAAGGTAAGACCAAATCAAAGTGTGTTTTCATGATAACTACAGAATTTTGGAAGTAATTTTTTTGCATTTGTAGTGACTCTGAGCAGAAACCGTATTTGCTTTTTTCTGGCAATCCTAGCACTGCCTATTGAGACTGCCACTTGTGGGCCATGTTTTTGTCCAAAATAGCCTATGTGTGACAACAGCACTTCCATTTGTCACTGCTGATGCTTTTCTTGGATTTCTGGATTGGCTAAAAGCAGGTTATTGACTGCCCTGCTGTATCTGCCTCATTCACTAGCCTTATATTATAATCTGATTAATGGCTTTCAGGGAATTCAGTAGGTGCAGAACAAGCTTGGTCAGAAAAGGCTAAAAATGCATTTGCTAAGAGCACAGTCTGTGTTTGATCCAGTAACTTCACCTTTTAGGCATGGCATTATAGGAGCTCTTCATCAGATACTGCTGCTCTTGACTTCTGGATGCCTTCTTTTTGTTCCCGTCTTTAAACTGAGGGAATAACTACTTCTCATGTTTCAAGACACAGAAAGAGTTTAGAGAATAGCACCACAGAATGTGTTATGAGCAGCACCACTGTAAATTTTTTATTTAAAAAAAAAAAAAAATCTTAGCGAGTTCGTTGCATTTTACCTCTGAATATAACTTTTTTCCAGCCTACCCCTGTGAGCTGGGGTGCCAGCCAGCTGAAGCGTAGGCCAGATGCAATCCTAGCAGTCAGCTGGTCAGCAGCTCTGTTAGTCACGTCTCCTCCCTCCACCCCGCCCAAAACCCTTCAAGTATTAAGATGGAGAGTGTTCTGAGGTATCTGTGAAATGGAATGGCATGAACACGGTTTCCTAGCCCCTGCAAGGCTCTGGGGCTTTGTTTTGCTTCCTGGCACATTCAAGCCTCTGCAAAAATAGATGCTACGTTGGTGACCGCTCTGAAGAAAGGAAAGCTGTGAATGTGCAGCCCTCTGGCACAGCTGCTCTTTGCGTTCTTACATCTCAAAGACAAGCTAGCTGCGAGTGGGAGTCTGCAAGACAAATGCAATGCCATTTTTCAGGAAAAAAGACTCGAGGCCTCAGAACAAGCCCATTCACCGATGCCAAGTGTTGTCGTGGCCTGTGAGACTGCATGGTGGCTGCACACAGGTAGGCACAATATCCTCTCAAAAGGTCTTGGTCAATAGCTATGCATACAAAGAAGTTAAAGAAGCTATCACTTGCAGGGGTTCCTACAGCTGACTGAGGCCTTTATTTTGTAACTGAAAAGATCTATATGTATGCCTTTATCAGGAAAACACGGGTTGAAAACTTGTTTAAAACAACATGCTTCACCCCGGTTTAATAAATCTGGTCTTGATTTGCAAACAAAAAAAAAGACTCAAAACCAATGTGCCTGCTACGACAGTCATGATGCCACTGATGCTTTTGTGCGCTTTCTTCACCAACAAAACCAAGAAGCTTTGGGGTTGAGTGGCAGGAGCCTAGGCAAGGCCTTAGATGATGGGTGACAGCTGTGCTTTCACAGCAGTCTCCTACACCTACCACAAATCATCACGGTAGGTTTTAGTACAGCTTAACAGCACTGACAGCCTAAACCAGACAGGTCTTTAACAATTCTTCTAATGGGTCCTAAAAGCTAGATCCAATGTAGCAAAGATTTTCTAAAGAACCTTTTGGTTCAGCTTGCTTGATGCTAACAGAACTGTTACAAATACTGCCGTGCCAGGTCTGACAGTAGTGAAGTCCAACAGAGCACCACCAGCTCCCTGTTTTATTGCACTGAGGTACAAGAAACACCTAACGCTGAAGAAGCTGTAGAGGTAACTGAGCTCATGGTGTACACGGGCTCAGCACAGATGACTAAGCAAGCAGTTCAGAAAAGGCTTGTAAAGTGGGGGTATTGCCCTTGCAGCCACTCTGGGGATCATGAAAAGTACCATCAAAGTTCAAAGTAGATGTTTCCTGATGTAATGCCCAGGCTCAAATTCTGATGCACAGCACAAAGGACTATTACCTCTGCCCCTCTTAAGCCAGAAAAAGAAGTCCCACGGAGGCTGAGAAGGATGGCCTGCTAACTTTAACAGGTGTGGCAAAGATAAAACAAAAACAAAGAATGGGGATGTGTTTGTGTATGCATAACCTGTGCAAAACCAGTATCTCTTTGTAAGCAGCAGATGTTTATATAAAGTTTGTATCAACTGCTTTTCAACTGCTCTGCTTAGACATAAAAAGGTGAGCTTTTAGGAGTCAGCATGGTCCTTGGTCAAGTTCTTCCTCCACTTGTTCTTCCTCTCCTATTGTTCTTCCCACTGAGCTACCTGCTTGTTAATTATTTTCCATAATGGTAATTCAAAACGATTCAGCATAGCATGGTGAAGCAAGACAGAATGGTTTGAGTATTTTAGATAAAAATAAGGGGAAGATAAGGCAGAAAACCAGAAGTTCTCATTTATGGGCAAAATGTGTAGTACTAGTTGAATGAAAAAGCTTCTAGTCACATTCACGGAAGCAAAGAGGATGCATACTGTTACAGGTTTATGAAATTAAGCTGAATAACCCATTTAAAAGCTTCATCCATACATGCAAAGAAGTCATATACTTGCTGCTCAACTGAGCACATCTTTGAATTTATTGATGTAAAGCAGACAAAATTCTCAATCACATTATATCAAAAGTACTACAAATGTCATTCTTAAATTTGTGTAGCAATGGATCACATAAACTACACACTTCATAGCCAGCCAGCAGATTTCTCAGGCTTTTGTTCCCTAGTAAGATTTGTTATATTCCTTGAGTAAAACATTATCTGTCTAAAGTCATTGCTTGAAATGCACCGATTAAAAATAATAGTAAGAATCTAGTATAACTTCAGCACAGAGTGAGCCAATCACAGTCATGGCTGGACAGATAAAGCAGTGATGAAGCTGAAGAACAGGGAACTCGACTGTCTGCACGATTTAAAAGGCTGCAGGCAAAGATGCAATACCTTTATCTGGTTTCACAAATTATTGCTGATTTAAAAATAAACTCTTTTTTTCCTCAAGTGAGGGCTGGGGGAAGAAGGGTGGCAGCAAGGCACTTCCACATCTTATTCCTTATGCAGGAACTCCAGGGGCAGTGCAGGGCCAGCTATGAAAGTGCTTTTTTAGGTCAAAAGGAAACTGTATGTGGGATGGGGCTGCTGTGGGACATGGGGAAAAGCCTAAGCTGAACAGGAAGGGAGGGGCAGGCATGTGTGCGTCCAGGAGAGCTTGCAGATATGACACCAAAGCCAAAGCTTGGGCAGCTGAAGAGTGTGGCATTTCTATTCAGGAAGAAGAAGAGGCGGCATTAGTTCAGTTTCAGTTTGAAATATCATCTTTCCCTTCATTAGGGATTTCTGGATTACTGTTGCAAGACAATCTTTTAAGCTCTGCTATGCTGCAGGAATCCAGAGGCACTAGAACTTCATAGAGATACATGGCTCATATTGTGCCTCATTTGCAGAGCCAAAGCTTGTCACATTACTTGTACCAGGACAAAGCTTTGTGTCAGTTCCCCTTAGCTCTCTTTCTATGGTGGAAGCTCCCTTCCAGTCTTCAGCTGCTCTGAGATACCTCTATAAAGTGCGTGCTTTCACATTATTTTTAAACTCTACTTTGCTAACATGCAGGGACTTGTGCTATTAAGATGGTAGTAGGGCCTGACTTTCCAAAAGCTCAGGTAAGCACAAAGACGCCAGTCCAAACCATTCAGAGATGGTACTGTTTTAGCTGAAATCCAGGCTTTTTCTTCTTTTCTGAAAGCTTTAAAAGTGCCAAGGGAGTACCCGTGTTAGAATATCGCAGTCAGCTATTATCCCTCTTCTCTGGTTTCATTCACATAGTAATTTCAGAAAGCTCTATAGAGAGTGCTATATTGAAAGGAAAAAGTTTAGCATTTTATGAGAGGGAGTTTAAAAATATACACCTGGAAAGAGATCCTGAATGCAGACAAATCTGTAACGCCAGAGTCTGTAACTCCTGCCTGAATGGACTGGAAGCTTGATACGGAATTCAGTTTATGCCCATATTGGCTCTGGCCCCATATTTTCCTATTAGCTATGTTTAAAAGGTCCATTTGAATTTCCTACAAAGTTTACTGATTATTTAACATATTAATGAAGTAACAAATTCAGCCAATGAATGACTGAAATCCAGGCACTGTTACTGTACTGTATATAATCAGGGTCAGAGGGAACTTTCAGGAAAATATACCAGAAAAGCAGTGTCCTGGGATCCTTCAGAAAGCTGTGCATTATCAGCAGGTTATCTTCTTCTTTCCTTGTGGAATCATCTAAGATACAACCTCCTGAAATGCAACAACTGTTTGTTTGTTTTTTTTTTTTTTTTTAAGAAAATCGTCATCAGATCTCTGACCCATAGGGTACTCTCACCTACCGTGAATCTCTAGCATGGTTTACAGCATAGCACCCCTCCACTCCCTGCACGCAGACTTTGATTGGTAAGCTTATTGCTATTTCAGCTGAAGCACAGGGGAAAGATTTATGCCATTGAATGAACAGCTGCTGCTTTCCTAATAAGTCGCTCCGTCATTGGTGAATTTGGTCTCATCACATCACGTTCTCTCAGGAGGCACCTGAGGAAGGAGAAGAGGTAGGAGGGAAACAGGAAGGTCATGACTAGCACATCAGTTTTCCTGTAAGATCACCAGCAGTACCCTTGTAAGAGGAGGAAAACAGTATGTAAAGACCTGCTCTTGAGGTGCAGATTTCCCCTGCTGGAAATATTTGGCCTTGGCAGTAAGTTTAGGCAGAACAGCGCTGTTTTCAGCACTGACAGAAACTGAAAATGAGAACCCAGAGATCACAGTGTACAGAAGAATAATTTTGATATTGTATCTAATTTTTATGCTTCAAAGATACCTCAGGAGAGGAACAGGCAAGGCTTCATATTGTCCCAAGGATCCACTCTCTTAAGTGCACAGGCAGACCCAGTCAATATATTTCAACAGAACTCAATATGGGTGAATAAGCAACATCTACGATTTCTACCAAACAAAGCTCTTGTAATTTGTACTAAGGCAAGCTCACATATCAGACTCTGCAAATCTTATTTCCCAATAAAGCAGATGTCATCACTAGGACAGATTTGATTTTCAGCAGTTCAGAGAAGTTTAGCAGTCCATTAAGTACACTGATCAACAAGGAGGAGGCCACATTTTAAGACAACTGTTTGAAAATCAACTGCCCTTGAACAAATACAGATCATTCATCCAGACCGCGAGAGTGTACTTTTGGAATTGGAAGCTATTGTACTTTTTATCCTAGTTAAATGTTGCTACATTTAACACAAATGCTTGCACATAATTTTAGCCTTAATTTACTGGTTTGAGTATACTCGCTACTTCTTACTTTTAGTAACAGTACTACTTCCACAAATATTTATCAGGAAAAATACTCACCGTGCAAGGTTTTGTTTGGCTTGTGATTTAGAATTTAAAGCAGCATGAATCAATAACTGGCTGAAAACATCTCTCTGAAAAAAGAAGTCAGCAAAAATGCAAAGTAATAAGTAACTTATAAAGTATTGCTGGTTACAATGTCTTATTTACCAAATTATTAAAACCACTGAGGAAGGAAACATATTGACAAGAAAAATTAAATAGCTAACACTGCTGATAAGTGTTTGCAAACAGGATTCAGCCACAAGCACAGCTTAGCTTTTCACTTTCTAAGAATGAAATGTTGTTAATAATGTAAGTGCCTAATGGAGGCTACTGAAAGAGGATTAAGTCACATCAAAAAGTCTTTTATTGATCTCCTTTACCTGAGCATTACTGCCTCCTAGTTGGATTAGTTGATAACGGATTGGGTACAGCAGGTCTACAGCTTTGTCGCAATTTCCATTTTCAAACTCCACAAAAGCCTGGCACAGTGGCAACCCCAAACTAGGAGCCAGGGAAAGCTCATGGTCTTCACAAGGTGCTCTGTAGAACGAGAAAGTGGTTAACTCCCATAAGTCAAATTATAAATACGCATATTTCAGTGCCAGTCTGTCACTGCAGACAGATTTTTTTCTTTATTGTATAAAGCCTGATGTTTCAGGTATTTTATTTAGATAATATCTTTTGGTGTGGTTATGTTACTTTCACCTTTTTGTTACTCATTAAACAATCAGTTTTCATTCTCCTGAATATATCCGCAAAAGGCAGAAGCCCAACTCCTCCTGCCTTTGCAATAACCAGTTTTGGCTAGAAAAGTGAGAAAATTGCACGGTTTCTCTTCTGATGATCTCACCAGAACTTCCTACTGCTAGTTCTTTGACTGTCCTCAACCCTGCCAAAAGTGGCATCAGTCCCTTGCAAACAGCTCCAAGCAACAATCTTGCAGAACAGCTCGCCACACAGAGCACAGTGCCTTGCCGTCTTTGTAATATAAACTGTATTCCAAATGACAGCTCTCAAAGTCTGCTCTTTTATTCTAACTACAACAGACTGCTTTTAGGCCCACAAACAGCAATGGATTTTAGATAGCTCTTAAGGTTTGGGTTTTTTTCTTCTCTTTTTTAGTGCTTGTATCCTAACCCATCTAAGAGTGGAAGAGGCATATACCATGAAAATATGTGTGCAAAAGAACGTATACATTCTAGCAGGCATCCTTGCCAATATTAAAAAACAAAACAAAACAAAAAACAACAACAAACAAGTAACCAAACTGTAGCTCTTTGGTCTACAGGCAATACCTGCACACAACAATGTGGAATTGTGGTTTTTCCACTGCTACAGAAGAAGCTGACAGTGATCAGGCCTTGGAGGTAGTGCCATTTCAGTGCCAAAAGGTTGGCTGGCAATATGAAGAGAGGAGGGCTTTCTATCCCAAGCAATATCAATTATTCCTGAGAATACAGTGCACGGTTCAATGCTATAAATTCCATCCACTGTTTAGAACAGATTTTTCTGTAAATTTTCCAATTAAATCTTTAACATTGAGGAAACTTAGTCACTGGCTTGTTTTGAGTGCTTGCAATGACAGCTGAGAGTCACACTGCCACGCTAGTACCTTAAATTTACCAAACACAGAGCATACTCTGTGCTCGCCTTCTTGAGTCAGTATTACAAGTTACCCATTTCTTCCACAAGGTCAATGTTGATTTTTCAGTATGCAGTGTTGCCCTATGTGTTTATCATTCCTTAAAGAAAATATGGCATCCTGAAAAGTTAGAAGCGCACCACAGATGTGCATTTTAACTAAGTAGTTTGAGATAGTTAATGATGAAAATGACGAAACAATTCTTTGTTTAGACATTTGTTCCAGCTCTCTGAGAAAATGCACAGAGATGGAAGACTGATTTTTTTTTTTCCTTTCTCTTGCAACTGATCTGAAGTATTGATTCATGAAGAACAACATACCCCCTGCATTAACTAACATTTCCATCCACGAAAATAAGCATGTGATACCAACCACCAGAGAGCGCCATGGAATACTTTACAAAAAAAATTCTTGTCAACTTTAAATTGCAAAGGCTAGGCAAAAATATTAATGAAAAGCCAAGAATGACTGTTGTTTGTGCCAAAGTTTTATGACTGCTTTTTTAACACATACAAAACGCATCTTAGGTATCATTTAGCATCAATGATACACATAAATGAGACACATAAATTGATCCATTAATCCAAGCATTAATATAATCCCTTCATCTCACAGTCTGTTTTCTCAAATAATAAAATTAAGCTTTATAATACTTTAAACTACAGCTAAAAATGTACAGCTGTATTACTCCAAAAGGCTGAACACATAGGCAAAAGGAAGCACTGGGTGAAAGGATAAGTAGCATATGTTCATTAAAGCTTCCCTGAAGTGATGTGCATGTGCAGTTTTATATACTTTATATATACTTACATATACTTATATAAAAAAATTCTGCCATTTCATACTTTAGTCAAATCAGACATGCTTAGGCTTGATTTGACAGTTATTTGTTTTCGTAAGTATTCTTAAAAATTACATTTATTTTTTATTATTTTTGATTGATGGGTATTATAGTCAGGAACAAATAGTGACAATTTCAGGTTCTCCTTCCTTCTTTTTTAAGGCAAGGGAAGCAACAGCTGCTGAAGCAGAGGAAAAACAGGGTGTGGGGGGGGAAGAAATTGCATTTAAAGCATCTATATATCAACCTCTTTAAAAAATCAAAGCAATTTACAGTTATTTAATACATAAGGGAACACAAAAAAACCATTGTTTAGATGAAATGCTTAAATATTCAAATTTTTCAAATAATTTAATTTGAAAACAAAACATTCTCTATTATTACTTTAGCAGTACTTGAAATTCAATTTCCTGCAGAGGTACTTCACAACACATGAAACAGTAGCTATTAGAATATCACTACAACTAATGCTCTATTATTAAAGAACCTTTTAAACCAGAGCAAAAAAGAACCACCATAGATAGCTGACATATCTTGTAGAATGCCCTTACTAATATACAGGTGAAATACTTGATTCATTGTATGTAACATAGCTTAGTGTGAACCCATTGAAAAGAAATATACAGCAACTGCTCGATTAGTGTCCATGACCTCAAACATAAGAGATTTCTGCTTAACAAGATTAGAAACTCCTCTAGATGTTAACTCAAAAAATAAATAATTATAGGGATCTCCTAACTGGAGACTGGCCTACTTAAACAAGATGTGTCCCAGTGACATGCTAAAGCAGAGAAGAGCGTGTTGTAGTGCTTCAGCAAGCCAGAGACATTATCACCCTGAAGTTCAGAGGACAAAATATTTATTGAATACAATACTTTAATTCACTTGCTTACTTGGCAAGTTCCTGAAGAGTTGTTAAAAGCTCATCAGTAGTTTTGTGGTCTTTGGCTCCAAGTGAGGACATCAAGATGTGTACATCATTGAACAGAAGAACGTGATCTTTGGTGTGCTTCTTTGTAAGCTTGAGAACATTGTTGAACCTGTCTCCAAGCTTTACACCTAAGAGTAAAAAAGTATTTTTCTCAAGAAAAATACCACATGCAAAACCATGACTTTGCAATATTCATATACTTTGCATAAACAACATTCCTACTAAACTCAAGAAAACATTCCCTGATGTGGCAAAATTTATACAGTAATGCTCAACTGCAGCCTGCTGTATTTGGGCAAAGAGTTTATGGACTGTCAGTAATTTATCACCAATATTCTAGATTGCATTATGTGAGATTCTGGCTTTATTATGAGATTGCTCATGTATTCTTGGAGATGATGTTTGTAATGAACCGTCTGTAGCAATCGTTCATTCTGACGTTCATAATGAATCATCTGGTGAACGGAGTTAAATCCAGTTGGT